CCAAAAGACCAGGTAACTACTTATTGCAGGGTTATCTTCGACAGGATTGAAAGTCTTAATTCAGCCACTGCCTCTGTGTCCTCTCCGGCTGTGGAATGCGTGTGGTACGTACACCATTGACAGCAGGGAGGGAAGGACCACACTCCGAGGCTGTGAGAACTGGACTGTCAAAGCACCGTGCTGGAAGCAGAAGCAGCCGTTGGAAATGCAATGAAATCACAATCCAACATGCAGGTGTGTTTAGATGTATGCTCCAACTGTGCCACAATGTATTTTTTCCATCAGTTTTCTGCTGTTTTGAGAATGTACTCTCTTGCTGAATCAAGTAATGTAACCTTGGAGAAGAAAAATCCTTTGGGTTAAGGCTTTAGAATAAGAGAATTAATCTGGTTTGAAAATCCTGTCCTTCTGAGGGTCTACTTTTGTCATTTACTTAGTTTAGAAGATGAATATGGCAAAATATATTATTTATTGAAGTTGATATAGGCACTAGGCTGTAGCTTCCTTTTCTCACACACTCATACATTAAAATTAATAGGAAAGAAGCTTCTAGCCGTTTAAACAGAATTTGCCTATATGGCACTAGGAGTAGGAGTCTTTCCTTATTTTTGTAAATTATTTAGCAGCGATACAAATATTTTAAACCTCAAAGTTGTGGATGGACTCTTTGTTTTTGCTTGCTTGTTTACGTTTTAAACACAGTTGTAATTCTGAGTGCTATTGGTATCTCCTTAGAGAAGTCTGAATGTCTTTCCTTGCAGTGTCATAAAGTCTATAACGCCTTTGAGTTTGTTTTGCCAATACGGGTTATAGTTACTAATTGCTACTGCCAGAGAGGCTAAAAAGTAGGTGCTATAACGAGTGTGTAGATGGGGTGAGTTTTGGAGTTCTATGTAGGCACCAGGTTTGTACGTCTGGATTAAACAAAACCTGAGTAAAAGTGGTGAAACTTGATGATAAACATACAGATGTTTGCTGATATGCCACGTGGAAGTTTGCACTTCTGTCATATATTCATGAGTTACATTCGCCTCCTTTATGCTGAAGGAAATTTGGAACTGTATTACAGTCCATCAGTGACTGTTTCTACTACAAGCAAAAGACTTGTTTGGGAACCTAATTTTCTTTCTTTTGAGCTTTTCCCTCTCCAGCCTTCCAATGGCTGCCAAACCATCCAGTGACTAGAATATCTGTTCACCCACACAGACAACTCAGTTTTCTTCCATGCCTCCATAGTGTGAGACACCATGTTCAGCCAGAGAGCACCGTAACAATGTGCGCTGCATGACAAATGAGTAAGTCTAAGGCTCAGTTTGTGAGTGCCCCTAAAACCATATGACCTGTTTTAGAGTCACAATTTAGGAGGTGGTCATGTGTTCTATGAATATGCATATAAATACCTGCATTTATAGCTTAAGTTCCTAGCAATTATTTTTAAGGAGCATTTCAAAATGAATTCGTGACATTTAAAATGAAGTAACAGTCATTGTTATCAACAGCAAGACAAGGAGATTGCTTTTATTTCATATGGCCTTTTCTCTGCCTTGGAGTGCCACAGGTTAGGTGTGAGTCACTCAGAATACTGTAGTCAGATTGTGTTCAGCAGTAGTTTGAGTTGATCTGGAGAGGAGCTCCTAAACACATTGAGATTCCCAGAACCCAGCTGCCTCCCCAAGATCCAGTAGAGATTCTCTATTGATTGTCAAATGCTTACAGACCATCCAGGTGATATAGGGTTCTTAGCCTTGCTTTCTAAATTAATAAATTTCTAAATCGCTATGGTAAAATGCAGTACTCTGCTGCAAACTGACCTCAGACGTGGAGTCTGGTAAGAGCCAGTAGCTCCCTACACAAAAGACAACCTGGGATTCACCTTACCTGCCCTGTTGCTGTTGCAGTAGCTCGTCAGAAGGGAAAGGTGGAAGTAGTGTAGACCAAAGAGCCCATTAGGTGCAGCATGTAGAGGATCCCAAGGAAGTTGCAATAAATTTAAATTGGAGATTCAGAAGTTTTCATAAATAAACAGGACAGATGAGTGGGAATGAAATAGCATAGACAAAGGATGGAGAAAATTTTGGTTCAAGACCAGGAATAGATTGTGTATCTCCTTTGAGTGCCAACAGAATCTTTGTATTGCTTTGCAGTTACTGTGGTGGTTTAGAAATTCTATGACTTTAGAGAATAGTTAAGCGTTACTGGTTTCAGTGAAACATTTTTTTACGACAAATCCTGGAACACTCTCAGTACAGACCAAACTCAATATGAACCAAGTTGCTTTTGCCAAACTTCATGCGGCAGAGAAAATGTGTTGTAATGGAGATGTCCATCCCTTCTGCTGCAGATTCTCACACATATCATACGCACAAATGAATGCAAATACTGTGTCTTTGAAAGGTATGAATGTATGTAGTGTTGCTTGCGTGTTCATGTAGTATTTATGGGAGGTGGGGTGGAGGGGAGAAGAAAGGAAAGAGGAAGGGTGAAGTTCTAAGACGTTAACAGGCATTAATGTTGAACTTCCTTTACATTAGTATACTAATTTACATTAGTATATGCTTTTAGGAGTCTGTAATGTCTGTTAGTATAGCGCAGGTGATACCTCCACAATGATGTTTTAGATGTGAGCGAAGGCATGAACTATAAGTAAAAGAAACCAGTCTGTTGGATGCAAGTGATGACAGATAAGAACTCAGTTTTTGTAAATTCCTCTCCTTTAACATAGCAACCCACACATCATTCAGTTGGTGTCTTCGACAGCCTGAATTCCACTTCCGTTTCAAGTGTCTAGTCAATGATGAGAGCTAAGCGCCCCTGAAGACTTTGAGGAATGATTCACATGGCCTAAGACATGGAGTAGGGAGTTGCCTAAAACCTCTCAGTAGGAGACTACCTGACACATGGATTTGGTGGATTTAGAACATGTGAATATAATGCTCAATGATTTCAAGTTCATAATCACTTTAAAATTTATTTAATTAACTCCTTTTTGACTAAGCCTAAATAGATACAACTAATGCACATTTTGAAACTAAATACTGCACTTAATTCACTGAATCACTGTTGCAATTTTTGAGCCCTTCGTTGATTCTTTGTTTCACAGGGGTTGAATAGCACAGTGGAGCAAAATGTTTTGAATTGATCTTAATAAGAAGATGGGTTTGGTTCGTCATCTTCTCTCTCTGGCAGAATACAGAAGCAGCAATAAATTTGATATACTCTGTGTATATGAAAGCCTTGAGCAAGACAGAAGCCTTTCTTTTCAGCTCCTTCCTGTGACATTCCCATGAACAATACAGAGCAGTAAGTTTTAGCTGAGACTACTACTGCACAGCTAGTTAAAAACTCCTGCTCCACAATTTCTTTGTCAGGATGAACTGAAGTATCAAGAAGAGAGTCTGTCCTCCTCCAGAACTAGTCAATGTCCGTTAATGACATGAAAGAAGGAATAATATGGGTTTTCTGTTTTCAGGCAATCAGAAGGTGGAATGGTCTTCATGCATTTTCAAAAATGTAGTAAGGATTGAGAATGATCTTGGCAGGTTGGAGCAGAGGCCTGAAGTAAATAGTAAATAGTTTAGTAATGACAGAGGAAACATGCCACTTTGCAGAAGTTCTGCAGAAAAAAAGAGGTGGGAATAGTTCTCAGACATAAACATGAATCAGAAATATCTTAGTGCATTGACAGTCTCATGTAGTGATGTAGAAACAAGAATGGCCTAGGTTGTTGCGATCTAAGTGATCCTTCCAATCTATTTGGTACTACTAGAGCCTTAAGAGGAAGATTTTATCTGGTTTTCAGCAGTAAAAAGGGAATTAAGAAAGAGAAACATTTCCTTTCAATAACAGAGAACTGTGAGCCAAGCAACAGAGGTTTAGAAAATGTGACCCAAGATGAACTGAGAGGCTTTTCCATTCAGAGAAGAGGAAACTGCAACACACACATTAAAGTGCACCCGAGGTGGAGGAGAAAAGGAAGGTAGCAAACTACTTTTCTTCCTGTATGGGTGGATTAATTTCAATGGTTGGTTTGGGGGTTCCTGAGCTCTAGAATATAAACCCAAATGTGGAAAATGAGGCAGAGAGCTGAAGGGTTTAGAGCTACTGCATAGATAAAAGGAAAATCTCTCTGAGAGGATAGGTGAGCGTGGGGATAGTTTTCCTGAGGAAGTTCAGGTATCTTCATCACTGGAGGTTTTCAAGAATAACTTGCACAACAGTTCTTGAAATGGTTTAGGCCCTTCTTAGCCTCTTTTTAGAACTGATTGAATTTGATATGCTTTATGTGATTTAAAGGCTATATTTAATTTTGGCTATTGATACCAGCTGCAGTTGCTGAGCAGTTTCAGAGTCTTCCTTGCCACTTTCTGTCAGTCCCAAACCAGCAGAACCTCTTCTCTGCGTCTCTCTTCTCTGGCTCAATTTCTGGTCCCTTCACATCTCTCTCCACTTTATGAATAAGATAAATGAAGAAGGAAAAAGAAATATTCAAGGATTCAGTATGTATTTTGTGATATTCCTTCAATATTTCATCATAAATAGAATAACAGATGGAGGGGATAAAGGGCTTTTCTAATCGTCTAACTGTAATCTTACTTTTCTTTCTAGTGTGCCCATGGTCTCTAGTGATTGTAGTCCCTACATTTATATTATTGCTCCAGCAGCCTGATTCTGGGATATTGTGATCTCCTACAGCATTACTAACAGTTTACAAAGCAAGAGTATTGCATAGCAGTATTTCAATCTGATAATGCTGTGGAAATTCTTTAGGGGGACTGGTGCAATGCAAAGCTTTTATGTATATCATAGGTGGAGTTTTAGTAGGAATCTCTTATGTTGACTGACATGCATTCATAACTACTTTTTATATTGATTGCTCACTCCTGAGGCAAGTATATAGCTGTTCTTGGAATGCAAGCAGAGTTTTGAAAATACCAGATTTTGACAGAATTGTACCCAAATAATTGCTATTTTCTTTTTCCCTTCCTTCCCTCCACTTTTAGCTGGCTGTGAGGTGGTTGGAACACAACTGCCGCTACCAGTACATGGATGAACTTCTCCAGTATGTCCGCTTTGGCCTTATGGATGTGGATACACTGCATACTGTAGCTCTTTCTCATCCTCTTGTCCAAGCTAGTGAAACTGCGACGGCACTCATTAACGAGGCCTTGGCTTACCACCAGAGCGTCTACGCACAGCCAGTTTGGCAAACCAGAAGGACAAAACCTCGCTTCCAGTCAGACACTCTTTACATTATTGGTGGGAAAAAACGTGAAATCTGTAAAGTGAAGGAATTGCGATACTTCAATCCGGTAGATCAAGAGAACGTTCACATCGCAGGGATCGCAAACTGGAGCGAGCTAGCGCCTATGCCTGTAGGGAGAAGCCACCACTGTGTTGCTGTCATGGGAGACTTTCTTTTTGTAGCCGGTGGAGAGGCAGAGCACTCCACAGGGCGCACCTGTGCGGTGAGGACTGCCTGTCGATACGACCCCCGCACTAACTCTTGGGCTGAGATAGCTCCAATGAAGAACTGTCGGGAACACTTTGTGCTGGGAGCGGTGGACGAGTACCTCTATGCAGTAGGGGGCAGAAATGAATTGCGTCAAGTGTTACCTACAGTGGAACGTTATTGCCCCAAGAAGAACAAGTGGACCTTTGTACAGTCCTTTGACCGATCGCTCTCATGCCATGCAGGATATGTGGTGGATGGTCTTCTTTGGATATCAGGTAGAAAACGTTTCACACACTTTGAGGTACTAACAACATACCAAAATACTGTCTCAAATGAAACTGAGAAATCTTCTTTGGTTTATATGTCAGGATAACTTTTCTCTTAGGGATGGGTATTTCAAAGGAATTTAAGCCTGGAGGCACACAATCAAGCCTGGTTAGAAGTACAGGAGCATAACATACCTTATACAGTATTTTTTATCTGCTAAATATCTCTCTCTGTTTCAAAGCTGCATATATCATATGTGCTACCTCCAGTTGCCATTCATAAATCACAGTGAATTGAAATGCTAATGCATATTTGGGCAAATTTCAGATGACAAATTCTGTGTTCTTCTTAAAAACAAAAAACAAGACCCAGTTTCTGTAGCGTGATCTGGTACCACTGTGTTTATTCCTGATAATGAAATGGAGAATTACGTGCTTGTTGGCTTGTGTAGGTCCAGGGCTTGAAGGCAGGTATGTGAACTTCTCTCACTTGCTCTTCAGGGTAGCGTAACAAAGAAGATGACCTTCATTAGAAATCATGCATGGCTCCGGCTGTCCATAACAGGTGCACAGGACTGCCTAGATGTAATCGTAGCTTTATGGCACAGATAGTTGAAAGTATAGGCCTTGCAATCGTAAACTAACCTATTGTTTGCAGCTCAGTCTGATGTACTTTTTGTTTTACATGTGCATATTCATGGGAGTTGAGGACATTCTGTCACCAGGTTTTGTAGTGACTTTTCTGATATCAGTTACTTTGGAATAAGGTCAATGCTGTCTACAGAAGGTTTGACAGAAAAATATCCACCTTTTGCTAAGAAACGTGTTATGGAAGGTTATAAAGTTGTAATATTTATCAAGGAAGTTAATGAGCAAATGGGGCCAGCCCTTGAGGAAAATGTTCAGTGATTGCCATCTTCACTTTAGATACCCTCTGGGGATTTTAATATGGTCTGGGATCCCTCTGGAGAAAAGATGTTATATGAATGAAAGATTAAGTGAGCCACTTAGGCCTTCGCTGTGCTTCTTAAAGTATGTCATTTAGATTAGCCGAACTCCTTGCAGATGTATCTTTCTGCCCATGTGCCTTAAGTGCCTTATGGGAATGAATTCCCAAGCACTGGCAGGGCAAGAAGCAGGTATCTCTTTTTATACATATCTGCTGAAATAATGAATAGCAGCTTTGGAATTAAAAGCATGACAGAACATAGGAAATCACCAAGATCACTGGCAGTGCTTTGGGTCACTTTCTTCAACTGGCATCGAAGGAGTCTTGTAAAGTTTGTGCTGTGTGTTAAGCCTGAAGTGTGCATGTGGTGGGCTTTGAGACCCAAGTACGGTACAAAAATAGGGATTCTGCTTTAGGGTACTAGCTGGGCATGTTCAGAGCATTACCCTGTTAATTCACTACATTTCCTGTTTTATCAGTGGAGAGAGATGTGTGCCTGTGATGGCAATTCAAATACATGGATGCTACTATTGCTGTGTCTTGATTATATTTTTTTTTTTCCCCCTTCTCTGGTGGTTTACATTTGTCAGTCTCTATTTATGCAAAACAGGACTTTTTAGGAAATTGTGTTAAACATATTCATATAAAATCATTGAGCGAGCACTAGAAACATCCTTCAGTGTGGTCCTTGCTCTAGTACATGAAAGAAGTAATATTTTTTTCTGAATTTATTTTCTTTCCTGTACCAAAAAACCCCAAGGAAGTATTTGATAGACATTTTTAAGTTAAATATGGGACTAGTTGAAGATTACTTTTAATCTTTCCAGATATGCTAGGAAAGGGAAAACTATGCTGAAGATTGATTCATGTGCTTTGTTATGTAAGTGAAATGTATGCCTGCCTCTGTGTGTAAATACTATCTCCATTTATATAATGAAGCTGTGTGATACTGTGTTCGAGTATATGCCTCTAATACAGCTGTACAATCAGGGGAAGAGGTAAGTGGAAGCCTAATAGGTGAACTTTTTAAAACAGGATAAAACAACAAAAAATATTTTATCAATATTCTTCCTTTTAGATTTGAAAATGATACCTACAGAGCTTCTGTTGTAAAGTCACAGTAATGAGCAATGTTTTGGCAGTGGAACAACACAGACAGGACTTTCCACTTGTATTTTGCGTAGTTTTGGAGAAAATGCTTAGCAGGTTTGAGTTGCTAGATTCTGACAGGTTGTTGTGAACTACAAGAGCATACTATGTGGTACTTAAGTAGGGTATTGATCTGAATTATGTACTCACAGATTGAAAACTGAATTCTGTATATTGAATAGAGTTATTTTATAAATAAAAGTAGATGGAGGTGCCGTAACTGTAGGTAGCTCTCTATTATTAATTAATTGCTTAGGGCCAGAATGTAGCTCGCTGTACATGTATATTCACGGGCAAGAGAATGGTACAGAGAGATGTTTTATTGTTCCAAAAATATCAGTAGTCACGCTGAAAAAATCCACTGTTTGTCATCAAATATAAGGTGTTGGCATTAGAGTAATCAGTGATGCAGGAGGGAACCTAATTTTAAAGTATGTGGCCTAAAATTAATTAATTGAAAAATTAGTCTGAGTTAGGGATGTTTCTGAGCTGTATCCCTGCTGCGTTTTCTGGGAAATAAGGGTCATCAGCAAGAGTACTCACAGCTAGTCTGCTAGTACCAGCTGGCAAGGTAACCGTGAAAATATGCCCAGTTTTTTAGTAAGTGAGTATATTAAATAGTGATAATATAAGTTTCTTGTATTTGGGGAGAGAGTCATCAAAACATGACTGCACACAGACCATTTACTTACTCTATAGCCAAAGCATCAGCACCTCTGCTGCAGCCCTTGTCTTCTAAAGGCTTTGCTAATCCAAAGCTGACTTAGAGGTAAGGGGTTTCTGTTATTGTTATTGGGATTCATTGTCGGCTTAACTTTGCTGCTCCTTTGGGACAAATACGAGAAGGAATGAAAAATAATAGAGCGTAAAATCATGGCAAAGGCAGCAGGGGAAGGAATTGTGTTAAACAAAATGCTGTAAGGACATGCTGGCAGTAGGAGATGGGTGGCCGGTGTTTCAGGTGACAGAGGGTCTCCTAAGCTGCCACCACCCCTTTGGGGTTTTTAAACTGCCTGAAGGCTCAAAAGGAGCCTTCACCACTCTGGAACTAATTGGACCCTCTGGCCAGCTCAAGTGGGTTCAGCTTTTGAGTTTTCTGAGCTCTATATATCGTGGAACATATTTTTATATTTGTGTCATTATTTTTTTTCTCATCTTTTTTTTTCTTTTTTTTTTTTCACAGCCCGCATTTTATTTTATTTTCTTATTTTAAAAAGTAGATGAGAATTCATTAAAATGAGTTTCTGTATTGACAGAACAGCATCGGGCAGATGGTTTTGAAATTTTATAGAAAGATGAATCTTACAGGCCTCAGTTAACATCTGACACCGTGACCTGTTTCACAAACGAATTGCATGCCACCTGCTTGAAAAGTGAAGTATTTCAGTGAAAGAGAAACAAAATGCACCAAACCCTTTGGAGTTCAACATTACTAACAATCGTTCCCTATAAAAGCAAGGAAATATTTTCCGTAAGAGCGAGAACTTGAACTATGCCCGTTTCCCTGCATCCTCCGTGGCGTGCACATGCAAATCTGGAGACCCGCTTTTCTGTACACGTTAACCTTCCTCCTCCCATATAGGTGTTCCTCCCGTGGGGACAGAGAAGGGCAGGGAACCTCTGCCAGGCAGTTCAGCTCTGGGCCATTCCTGCACCTGCAGCTGGGGATAACGAGGCTTCCCCTGCGCCTCGAGTGCTCAGGAGATTAGCACATGAAGTGTGTTCTCTAAAGCAAAGTGTTATGCTGTTGTTTCGCAGAGGTCCGAGTTGCCTGACCTTTAGTATGTCAGCTAAAATCGCATCTTAACGTGCACATGGAAACTCAACTTGGGAGAAGGTAAACAAGCCAACCTCGTACAGTTGCTTCATAATTAACAGTTTTTTTCTTCTAAATATTACTATTAATATTATTGTTGTTATTATTGTTATTTTTTCCCTAATGGTGGGGATTTTGACCAAGGAAATGATGGAGATGACATATCTTGGACAATTATTCTGAGTTTGCAAGTGGTTTGGGGGAGAAACATTACCTTACTGTCAGTATGCTGTTTGTTGTGAGAAGAAAGTTCTTTCTCAGTAAATGCCTATAAAATTGTTTTATGAAAAATAGATCTGGAGTAAGTAGGAATCTACAGTGTCTAACCAAATCAAGTTTTGCAGTGCAGCTGGCACAGAAATTACCAGGAGCAGGAGCTTAACAAGCACGTAAAAATTGCCTCAGTGACCCAGTCTTAGTCTGTATATGGAACAGTGTTTCTTTATTATCTCACACCTTTCAAGCATGATCGTTACAGGTTTGGTGCCATCGATTCTTCTTAGATTGAATGTAAACGTCAGGTTTTAATGATTTTATTTTTTAAAAAAAAAAAAACAACTTGCAAACAAACCAGGGCTTGTGCCCCTTCTTGTTTGCAGCTGGATTGCGTCCAGATTGGAACAGTGTTGATTAGAGCTGCTGGTGGTATCTTCCAGGGCACTCCTCAGGGTGGGAGAATATGCTCCAGCTCAGCTGTCCTCACTGCACCTGGACTGGCTGAAGGAAGCGGCAGCTGGCTTGCCTGCTGAGGAAGGATTATCTTGTGTTTAATACACCGATACATAAGAGAGGAGATATTTCTATTTTAAAATAGCAGAGCACCTTGGGGCGCATGTCATGAGTTTCTATATATTCTCTGGATTTTCTGGAAGGAATACACGTGGGAGCTCTTTGCCAACATGTAGTTTTGCACGTCTCCCAGCTAACTCGGATTCGTGCATGCAGCCTAGCACTTGGGGACTTCTGAGAGAGTTGTGAGATTTTTCTGAGGAATTTGGATTGGATTAGATTTCTGAAGTCATATGGGGGTCTTACTAGGACATGTTATAAATATGGATTATAAATTTTCAATTGGGAAAATGGAGTTGAATCTATTGCCTCCCACCCTTCTCTTTTTGGAG